GGGGATGATAAATAGTGGCGGTTGACCGGTCAAAATCGCGGTTAAAGATATATTTTTGTGATCTCACCAACAGCGGGGTCGATGGCACCGTCGGCGCGCTCTACTGTATTTTTAACACAAGTCTCGGGAAATTCCTGCCGTCGGCGGTGTAGATCGAGGGCGCCGTCGGCGGGCTCTATTGATTTTGTCCAAATTCCGTATTTTTATGATTTTGATCAATTCTAAGCCTAAATGACATCCGTTTAATCTTTATAAACATAATTTTAAATAGTTAAATGATGTACTTAACACATACAGACTTTCACAAAACAAAACATCACATATATAAATAAATTCCAAGAGATAAATTAAACGTTACATAACACAACTAAATTAGGTATTTTCTCAACCTCAATACATTAATTCAGCGTCGCAATCCAAGCTACAACACTCAAAATGCTGAAAACAAAATGTTCTATGCTTAGTCTCAACTATACAGAGATCTTTAAGCATAATTCTAAAGCAAAGCAAATATAAAGTTCAAATCTAAACACAGAAGCATAAATGTAACATATGAGATCTACTACTCATCAAATTCTGTGCTCGTTTCTCCTCTGAGATCACCCATTGATTGCACATGGACGAAGAGGTTATAGAAGGGTCGGAATGGAAACTCTTCAGTAGAATCCTCTTCATCAGTCGTATCAAGCTATCCGCATTTTGGAATTATCAGGGCAATTGGACGCCATAGGAATGAAATTGAAAGAGTTTTTCTTCATTTTTGTGAAGAAAAAATGAACTAGAGTTTGAATTTTGAGTTTAAAAAGACTATTCCCGCCCAAAAAATCGTAAAAAACCGCTCATCGGACACAAAAAATCGCCTCTTAGCGGTCTCGCAGTCAGCGGCATCGAGGGCGCCGTCGGTGCACTTCTGTATTAATTTTTGCCTAGACTCTCAGGAAAATCCCACCGTCGGCACAGTCGAGGGCGCCGTCGGTGCCCAAGGCAAAACTTTCACAGTTTCGCTCAGGTCCGCATGCGTCGTAATTTTTCTTTATGGATCCAACTTTTAAGATATTTGAAGGGTAAATAAGAGTAGTAGAGCTTAATGCTACTATAAACTAGCAATAAATTCAAATAAAAACTACCATAATCGCAATAAAGATAAATATAAATATGGGTTGCCTCCCATAAA